AAAGTATACTTGGAGGAAATAGTTAGGAGATCATTGGCATATGAATTTAGACCCACATTTCACAGCATATAAATTCAGTGAATTCTACCTAGATAATAGATTCAAACATCATATACACATAAGTATATAAATAAAAAGGAAGAAAAATAGAATTGTTTCAGTTCTAGAGAGGAGGTGACATTTCTTTTGAAAAATTATTTCTATGCATGCCTTTGGTTTTTTGCTAGGCAATGAGGCTAAGTGACTTTTCCAGGGTCACATAATTAGTGCATGCTACGTGTCTAAGGCCAGACTTGAACTCAGGTCCTCCCGACTCCAGAGCTGGTATTCTATCCACTGCTCCACCCAACTACCCCGCTTTTGTTTTTATAAATACACATTTCCAAATATCTCCTTTTCCTTTTCCCTTCCACAGTCATTCTAGTCAATCTTTGCCACAAAAATTTAACAAGGAAGAGGGGGAAAAAACCAACACATTTACACAGAAGTTCTGTATTTTAGCTATACTGTTCCTGGGAATTACATTTCAGGATTTCTTTCAAGAGGTTACCTGTAGATTCTTTCTATTTCCATTTTGCCATCTGGTTCTAAGAGATATAGGCAGTTTTCTTTAATTTCAGAAAAACCTGGAAAGACAGCAACTGATGCAAAGTGAAGCGAGCAGAACCAGGAGAACATTGTACACAGTAACAGTAATACTATATGATGATCACCTGTGAATGACTTAACTATTCTCAGCTATACAATGATCCATGACAATTCCAAAGGATTCATGATGAAAAATGCTATCCACCTCCAGAGAAAGAACTGGTGGAGTCTGAATGCAAATTGAAGAATACTATTTTTCACGTTCTGCATTTTTTGTGTTGTTTTTTCCCCTTTGGGTCTGTATCTTCTTTCACAATATGACTAACATAAAATGTTTTGTGCGATCAAGTATATGTAACCTATATCAAATTGCTTACTGTCTCAGAGACGGGAGGTGAGGGAATGAGGAAAAAAACCTCAAATTTTTTAAAAGATGAATGCTAAAAATTGTCTCTACATGTAACTGGGGAAAAATAAAATATTTTTTAAAAATAAAATGTCAAGGCTCTTTTTTGGTCATGGCTTTTAGGTATTTCAATAACGTTTATATTTTTCCTCCTTGATTTTCCAGATCAGTCATTTTTGTATGAGATACCTTTTTATTGTCTTTTATTTTTTCAGTCAAATTTTCAGTTTTTTAAATATTTTTTGTTATCTTATGGAGTCCTTGGTTTTTATTTGACCCATTCTAATTTTCAGTGAGTTTTGTTGCTTGGATAAGGTTTTATACCTCTTGTGCCAAGCTGTTAATTCCCTTTATCATTCCTTCTTCCATAATTCTCATTTCTTTTCCATTTTTTGTCCTTCCAGCACTCACTGATAGAAATCATTTTAAAAGTATTTAAAAAAAAAGAACTCATTACATCTCTTCCATGAATTCTAGTTGAGTCTGTGCCCAAGCTGTATTCTTTTAGATTTCTGTCTTAAGTGTCCCTGTCCCATAATATCATTTTATGGTGAAGTTCTTTGTACATTCTTCCAACCTGTTTCCTGACTTTTTACTTGGTGTTAGGGCTAGGCTCTTCATAGTTCTGGAGGAAAAGTTGGGGCAGGACATGCTGCTGCTGCTTCCTTGGGGTATTGGAGTATTGTGTCATTCCAAGATCTCAGAGACAGCTTAGATTTAGAGACTGTAGGCTTTCAGTGCTCTCAAAGTATTCAGTATGACTACTCTTCTTTCTGGTCAGATCTCTGTGAGATCCTGACCCGTGTCTGTCAGAGTCTGAGCAACAGGCCTATGGGCTTACCTACTTTGGAGCTTCAGTAAATTACTGCTGGATTCACCCGCGATCAATCAGCTAGAAGTTCTGCTGTTTCTAGGGTCATACAACTGTTTAGTTCTGTCTTTGATTCCCACCCTCATTATCCCTCTGTAGACTTCAGAGTGGGAAAGAAGTTGGAAATAAAACACACCTTGGTGTGTGTGGGGGGGTGGCAGCAATCCACACAGCAGCCATTTACATATGAATTTTATCTCTTGCTCAATACATCATCTAGGGTCTGGGATCACTCCTCAACCAAGTCCTTGCACTGGAATGCAATCCTTGGGCCCAGACTCAGTTTTCAATCATGTTAAAATATGGACACTATGCATTCACTCATTCAGCATAGGCTTATCTCTTCTGAGTGGCTGTGGATCATGAGAAATGGCTCGACTTGAATCTGCTTGAGGCTCAGAAGCTTCGGGCACCTTCTATTTATGATGGGGTTTTGGTAGGAAGCTGCCTATTGACATTTAAAGATTAGGTTTACATCATGTCCAAAGAGAAGGGGAAAAATGCTTTCTCAGGAGCTTCTAGTGACTGAGCCACCACCAGAATAGCAAACAGACAGTTGACTATGAAAAAAGTCTATTTTTCTAAATCTATACTAGGCAAAAGAGTGATAGGACCTCTGCTTAGGTTGAATGGGATGATTATAGTAGATGAACAGTTGGCAGGAGAAACCAGCTTTTGTTCTGCCTGTTTTATCTGCTCAGGGGAATGATCTTTGGGATACAAAGGACAGAACCAAAATGGTTAACGAGAAACAAAAGCCCAATATTAAGCAAAAAGCCCATGAAAGAGCAACTAGTTGACCTCAGGATAATTTTGGAGAATGAGATGCCATGTAACTAAGAAAGCAATGTTGCCACCTAGCAGCCCCCCTCTTTTTAACAGAAAAAGTCAGCAAACCTGAACAGTTTCCCCAGAATTATGTATTATTAAAAAGGATGTTATCATCGTCATTGTTCTTCAAATCTGGCTTCAGACACTTACTAGCTGTGTGATCCTGGGCAAACCATTTAACTTTGTCTGTTTCCTGATCTGTCTGGAGAAGAAAATGGCAAACCACTCCAATTATCTTTGCAAAGAAAACTTCAAATGGGGTCAGGAAGAGTCAGACACAACTGAAATGACTGAACAACAAACAGTCTTGAAGAAATGAGTGGCCAAAACTTGTAGGTTATACAGAAGCCTCATGCTTGTATATCATGAATGCTTTCTCAAAAAAAAAAAAATAAATTGGCAGGTCCAAGACATGTACACCAAACAATGTAGGAATGGAATTGACATTTTAAAATACAAGGATTTTAAGTCTTTCACATGACCTTTCAAGTACTTGAACAGACCTTACACATACAGATTTTCTCTTCTTCAAGCTAAACACCCCAGCTCCTTCGAGTAATTCTCAACAATGTGGAATGTCATCCCTGTCCTTTCCAAAATGTAGTACGCACATAATATTAAATATAATAAAAATAAACATAATGCTTACAAATGTGGCCTGATCAATAGAGCCTATGACCTCCTCATTCTTGAAATGTAGCCCAAGACAGAATGAAGGCATTTTCAATGTTACATCACACTGCTGACTCCAGGACTAGTGCCCATCTTGGATTTTCTAAGGGAAAAGGTTGTGTCAGCAAAGGCACAATGCTCACTAATATTAGCCAGTTAAATCTCAGTTCATTTAAGATAGGATGAGACACTACTCTTGCAATGTTAGGTGAACGGTAGAAAACTGGCCCTTAGAGCAAGAGAACTAAAACTGGCAGGTTATCACTAATGTGGAACAATCTTTTATACTTCCCTGGTTTTAGCTTTTTTTTTTCCCCCTGGGGGCAAGGACAGGTAGGGGTGGTATCACTTCCCAAAATACCCTATTTTGTAACAAAGTACAATTAACCAAAACAAATGGAAACTCAGCATATCTGAATTCATGCCTCATTTTTTAATATTATCTTTGCCCCAAACTGGAATCTAAAGCTAAATAAATACAGTAACTCCATCTGTCCACATGGGCTACACTAAGAATGTTTCACTTAGCCTTAGCAATATTGGGGGGTTTTTTTGCAATTGGGGTTAAGTGACTTGGTCACACAGCTATTAAGTGTCAAGTGTTTGATCTGAGTACAGATTTGAACTCAGGTCCTCCTGACTTCAGGGCTGGTGCTCTATCCGCTGCGTCTTCTAGCTGCCCCAGCAATATTGTTGCAATTAATTCAGCTGCCTTTTATTGCAATCAATGTGTCTTCTCAATTTATACAAATATTTCCTGAATTCTTTTTATAATCTGGCCTTTCTTATGGTATACACTATTCCACTTCATAGTTTTGTATACAATTCTTCATCTGTTTGGAGAAATTCATGTGTTAAGGAAAATTACAAGAATTACATAATGACTTACAAATATGGCAGATAAATGCCTTAATGTCAGATCTCACATCGAGCCCCTCTTCTTGACTACTGGAAAAGGGCCTAAACCTGTGATTTCATTGGTAATGGGAACTCCCAAGCAAGGAAAATCCTATCAAGTTCTCTTCTCTTCTGCAACTTAAATCTTTTAACTGCCTAACACACAGAGATTGACTTTTCCACAGTTCAGTTTGCTTTAGAAAAGGAATTTGATGTAAGCTATTATTGATGAGAAGACTTAGTCTTATTCTAATAAAACTGAAGCAGTTATTTCTAAGTGTCTTATTTTAATTTTAGAAATAAATACACTTAAGAATAGAACTTGAAAATTCAGGTCTTCCTGGCTCCAATGCACTCTGCCACAAAAAGTACTCTCATTCTAGTCATCCACCAAGCAACCTTAGGGTTATCTTTAACTGTTCAGTTGTCTGTCTTTTTGATAATCAGAAATACAGCTAGCAAAGGAAATGACTGATCCTGGGAGATTGGAATTACCTTCTTAACCACATGCTTTCAAGTAAAAGCTGGATAACCACTTAAGTGTTAGAGGGAATTCTTCAGCTATCAATTAAAAGGGCCTCTGAAGACCCTCCAGGTCTGACAGAGAGAAAAATCAAAGGTATAAATAACGTGAAGTAGAAGTGGACATTCATTTTCTATGCTTCATTTGTTTCTACTGCATTAAACACTGTGTTTTCACATAATTTGTTGATGGGTTAATAAGTTCACACTAAATTTTAGTATCTGAGGATGACCTTTTTTAATTATATATGCAAATTGGCATAGCATGTACAAAATGATCCATCTTTAGGTTGTGCAGGGTACAGTAAAACTGTAGTCACTGATGGTCAGCATAATCACTGAAGCGAGATTCACAAGCATAACTTAGTCCAACTGGAAAAAATAAAACAGAAACAAAGCTAAGATTATTTTATGATCATTCAGTCAACATTCATTAAGCACCTAGCCTGTGCCAGATTGTGCTAATCACTACAAGTTACTTCCATAAACAACCAAAAGTAAAGAAATCTTGCAACACCTTCAGTCAATGCATATTTGTTTCCCCTCCAGATAGGTTCTCAAAAGAGCCCAACTCTACCTAATTTTCATTCCCTCAGGGGACAATTCCAGAATGTCTTACCGGTACCTCAAAGTCAGAATCTTCAGTTTCTCTCTGTACTATAATATTCTACTCTGATTTCAGCAGCTCCCAAAGAATTCAATTATCATATATGCTGATGATCCAGTCCAACCTCTCTCAGTCTTGCAACTCCAACCGCCTATCCATTCACTGACATCACTGAATGGATATCCCTTAAGACATCTAAAATCTGACAAGTTCAAAACTGAAATCATTACCTCCACTCCCCCAAATATTCCTTTTCCTAACTTCCCTATTTCTGTTGATAGCACCACCATACTCCCAAACCCTGAGGCCAGCAAACTAGGTTTCATTCTCAATGACCATGTCACCACACTTCCACATGATTCAAAAAATTCCAGTGACTCCCTATTACCACCAGGAACAACTATAAAATCCTATTTGACATTGAAAACTTTCACGACCTGGCCTGTCTTACCTTTCTAGTCTTATACCTCACTCCCCCAACCCACCCATGCTCTTTGATCCAAAGACATTCTTCTCCTTGCTGTTCCTCAACCCCATATCCTGACTCTGGGCATTTTCACTGGCTGATCTCCAAGCCTGGAATTCTCTCCATCCTCATCTCATCTCCGGCCTTCCTCTTAAAGCGCCCAATTAAAATCCTACCTTCCATAGGAAGGCTTTAAGTACCCCATTAACATTAGTGCCTTCCCTCTATTATCTCCAATTTATCCTATATTCACCTTGGTTGTACATAGCTGTTTTCATATAACCCTCATTAGATTATGAGCTTCTTGAGAGCAGACTGTCCTTTCCCTTCTTTGTACAGATCTTAGCACAGAGCCTTGAAATATAGTAGGCACTTAATAAAGCCTTACTGGCTGACTGGCTTCAGCATGTCACTACAATCAGTACTATAATACTTTATGTCCTTAAGAACTCTCCACATCCTTTATACAACTCTATCCCTCATGCCTGAAATCCTTCATCCTTCTCAATCTCCCAGAACCCCTAACTCCTTTCCAAGACACAGCTCAAATGCCACCTTCAAGAGAAGTTTCTTCTGATTATATCCAGGTTAGTCCTTATACCCTCAGTTGGATCTAAACCCCTTTCAGAGTAAGGTATTTGTATTCCTGGGAGCCCAACAAAGTGCCTAGAATACAGTGGGCACTTAAAAATATCTAGTACAACTCTCTATCCTATCACCCAATGAAAAATCAATTCTAATTTTATAACTAATAGTTTTAGTATTTCCCTTTTACAACTCCAACTACTCTACCACTTGGATATCTAAAATGTTTTTTATTCTGCTGGCATGACCTAATTTTTAAAAATATCCTGATAATTTTATTTCAACACAATTGATTTCCTTTGTAATCTTATGGTACTTTTATGCATTTAACAGCAGTCTGAGAAGGGTCCAAAGGCTTCATCAAAACGCAGATGATGACAAAATAATAAAAATAATAAAATGTAAATGACACAAAAGATAAAGGATCTAAAGGAATAATTAAGTTCCTTCAATGTTGCCAAAATTGGCTCATCTGTTATCCAACGATGCTCTTAAATTAAGTTATCAGGAAAAAGGGGCTCGGTGCCCCAGGTTCACGCCAGGATAAAATGCGTACCCCACGGGGGACACAATTCTTGACGCCAAAAACCAGAAGACAGGGCGGGCGGGTAGGCAGGTGGGTGGCAAAAAGTGGGGGGGTATCCCGGCCCAAAGGCCTACCTTGATGAAGCCGATGTCCTTCGCGTACTGCCGGAAGCACTGGCGGCACATGTTCAGGCCGTACTTGCGGATCAGGCCATGCCGGTTCGAACACACGCGGCTGGGGAAAGGCAAAGGCGGCCTCGTTAGCTGCGGGACCCGACGCGTGGCGGCGGACACCCTCTTCCAGCGTCACCCTCCACCTCCCCCAACCCAGCCCGCAGGCGGGTCCGGGGGCCGCCCTGATCGTCACTCCGGGCCTGACACCTGGACGCCACAACACCCGTCACCTCCACTCGCGCCGCTTCCAGGGCCCACCTTCCACCGCCTCTTGCCGGGGAAGGTCTCCCCGAGAAGTTGGGCCAGAACTCACCACGACCGAGACCCCTGGCCGAATTTTCGAGGGTGGCTCCAGTAGAGCTGCTGATGACCCATGGCGCCAGTAGGAAGGACGCGAGACAAAAGGAACGTAAGGGATTACGCATGGGCTCTTCAAATCCCGGCCCGGCCTCACGCAAGATGACGCCAGAACGTAGGCGCCTGCGCAGCGGAACCTAGTGAGGCTCGAGGAGAAGGGCAAACGCGGAGTTTTAGGACTGCCTCCCCGGTGACGTCACAGCTGAAAGTCTTGATTAACTAAAAAGCAAGCTCGCCTCCTCGCCGGGCGTGGTGGCGCGCGCCTGTAGTCCTAGCTACTCGGGAGGCTGAGGCTGGAGGATCGCTTGAGCCCAGGAGTTCTGGGCTGCTGTGTGCTATGCCGATCGGGTGTCCGCACTAAGTTCGGCATCAATATGGTGACCCCCTGGGAACGGGGGACCACCAGGTTGCCTAAGGAGGGGTGAACCGGCCCAGGTCGGAAACGGAGCAGGTCAAAACTCCCGTGCCGATCAGTAGTGGGATCGCGCCTGTGAATAGCCACTGTACTCCAGCCTGGGCAAGATAGTGAGACACGGTCTCTTTTTGATTTTTAAAATCTTGAAAATAAAATTGTGTTAAAAATAATTTGAAGTAGCAGTTCCTTTTAACTCGAGTTAAAAGCTTTCTTCGAGCTGAAATTGACTTTTCTAAACAGAAAATGTTTATTTTCCTCCAACTCAGCACTGCCTCCTACTGGAATGACTGAGAAAAAATAAAGTAAGAAGACACGAGCCAAAGTGTTGACAGTAGGAGATGCTTGTAGGCTGAAAGGAATCATTTGCTAACTTCAATTCAAACCACCCTTAGGGATATTAATTGAGGACCACATTTCAAGTAGTAAGCAGTTAAATCACTATCACCTGTACTTTTCTTCTCCCTGCTGACAAAATTATAGCTTACATTTCTTTAACACTTTAACTTTAGTTTGGGAGTTTTTTTGTTTTTCGTTTTTCTGGAGAAATTCATGCAAAGTGAAGCTTGTTAGATTAGTTTGTGAGCTCCATGAGAGCAGTGACTGCGTCTGCATCCACCTCTCCTTCCTCTCTCCGTCTCGTCTCCCCAGCTCTTAGGGTCTGGTACATAGGTTCTTAATAAATTACTTGAAGCTGTAAAAGCAGTATAATTTAGTATAGAATAACTATATGAAATATCAGTCTAGGGAAAGAAGGGAGGGAGATGAGCACTGTTTGAACTTTACTCTCATCAGATTTGGTTCAAAGAGAAAATAACATTATCAGTTAGGTATAGAAATCTAACTTACCCTATAGGAAATAGGAGGGGAAAGGGAAGGGGGTGAATAGAAGGGAGAGAAGAAGTAGTACAGGTAAAGGGGAAGAAAAGGGAGGGGGCTAATAGAAAGGACAGCAAACTGAGGGACGCAATGGTCAAAAGCAAAATTCTAGTGAGGAGGGGAAGGGAGAAAGGAGAGAGAAAAGTATAAATGAGGGAGAGGAATAGGATGGAGAAAAAGACACAGATAGTAATCATAACTGTGAATGTGAATGTGATGAACTCTCCCATAAAATGGAAGCAGATAGCAGAGTGGATTAAAAAACATAACCATACAATACCTTGTTTACAAGAAACACATTTGAAGCAAAGCAATACACACAGAGAGTAAAGGTAAAAGTCCAGAGCAGAATACATTATGCTTCAGCTGAAGTAGAAAAAAGCAGGGCTAAGATTTTGCCATGATCTTCCACAAGCTGTGGTGACTGACAGGATCAAAGACCTCGGTCAGATCAATGAACATTGTGTACAGACGTCCTTTCTGCTGCTGACATTTCTTCTGGAATGGTCAGACAGTGAACACCATATTGACTGTTCTACAGCCCTTTCTGAAGCCACACTGGCTCTTGGGTAGATGACTACAGTGAAGAGATTAGTAAAATTGAAATTCAGGAAACTATCGAAGTAATAAATAAAACTAAGAGTTGTTTTTGTGAAAAAAAACAATAAACTAGATAAACCTTTGGTAAATTTGACTAAAAAAAGGAAGAAGAAAACCAAATTATCAGCATCACAAATGAAAAGGGTGATTAGGAGCTACTTTGCCTAACTGTACAAATATGGTGCTGATACCTAAACCAGGAAGAGCCAAAACAGAAAAAGAAATTTATGGACCACTTTCCCTAATAAATATAGTTGCAAAAATTTTAAATAAAATTATTAGCAAAGAGATTACAGCAATTAATCTCGAGGATAATACACTATGACCAGGTTGGATCTATATTAGGAAGGCAGGTCTGGTTCAATTTTCGGAAAACTATCAGCATAGTTGACCATATCAACAACAAAACTCACAGAAATCATATGATTATCTCAATAGATACAGAAAAAGCATTTGACAAAATACAACACCCATTCCTATTAAAACCACTAGGAGGGGGCAGCTAGGTGGCACAATGGATAGACCTCTAGCTTTGGAGTCAGGAGGAACTGAGTTCAAATTGAGCTCAGACACTTAACACTTAACTAGCTGTGTGACCCTGGGCGAGTCACTTAACCCCATTGCCTAGCCAAAAAAAAACAAACAACAAAACATTACAGAACATAGGAATCAATGCTGTCTTCCTTAAAATGATAGGTAGAATCTATCTAAAACCATCAGCAAGGCATTATATGTAATGGGGATAAGCTAGAAGCATTTCCAAAAAATCAGGGGTGAAAGAGGTTGTCCATTGTCACCACTGTTATTCAATATTGTACTAGAAATGTTAGCTTTATCAATAAGACAAGAAAAAGAAATTGAAGGAATTAGAATAAGCAAAGAAGAAACAAAGATATCATTCTTTGCAGATGTGATGATATACTTAGAGAATTCAAGAAAATCAAGAAAAAACTTGCTTGAAATAATAAACAAATTTAGAAAAGTTGCATAAATCACTGGCATGTCTATTTATTACCAATAAAGCCCAACAGCAAGAGATAGAAAGAGAAATTCTATTTAAAGTTACTGTAAACATTATAAAATATTTGGGAGTCCACCTGCCAAGGCAAACTCAGGAACTATATGAACACAATTATAAAACATTTTTCACACAAATAGTCAGATCTAAATAATTGGAAAAATATCAGCTGCTCATGGGTAGGCCAAGCTAAAAAATAAAAATGACAATTGTACCTAAGCTAATTTACTTATTCAGTGCCATACCAATCAAACCAGGAAAAAAATTATTTTATAGAGCTAGGGAAAAAAAACCCAATAACAAAATTCACCTGGAAGAACAAAAGATCCAGAATATCAAGGGAACTAATGAAAAGAAACTCAAGGGAAGGTGGCCTAGCTGTACCAGATCTTAAATTGTTTTATAAAGCAGCAATCATCAAAACCACTTGGTACTGGCTAAGAAATAGAGTGGTGGATCAGTGGAATAGGTTAGGTGTGCAAGACACAACAGTCAACGACTATAGTAATCTACTATTTGATAAATCCAAAAACTCCAGCTTCTGGGATGAGAACCCACTATTTAACAAAAACTGCTGGAAAAACTGGAAAATAGTATGGCAGAAACTAGCCATAGACCAACATCTTACTCTATACCAAAATAAAATTAAAATGGATACATGATTTAGATACAAAGACTGATACTATAAGCAAACAAGGAGAGCAAGGAATAGTTTACCTATCAGATCTATGGAGAAGGGAAGAATATATGACCAAACAAGAGATAGATAACATTATGAAATGCAAAATGGATGACTTTGATTTCATTAAACTAAAAAGGTTTTAGACAAACAAAGCCAATGCAACCAAGATTAGAAGGGAAGCAGAAAGCTGGGAAACAATTTTTACAGCCAGTGTCTCTGATAAAGGCCTCATTTCTAAAATATATAGAGAACTGAATCAAATTTATAAAAATACAAGTCATTCCCCTATTAATAAATGGTCAAAGGATATGAATAGGCAGTTTTCAGAGGAAGAAATTAGAGCTATCTATAGTCGTATGAAAAAAATGCTCTAGATAAATTGATTAGAGAAATGCAAATCAAAAAACTGAGGTACCACATCACACCTATCAGATTGGCCAACATGACAAAACAGGAAAGTGATAAATGCTGGAGAAGATGTGGCAAAATTGGAACACTAATGCATTGTTGGTGGAATTGTGAAATGATACAACCATTCTGGACAGTAATTTGGAACTATGCCCAAAGGGTTTTAAATCTGTGCATACCCTTTGACCTAGTAATATCACTTCTAGGGCTGTATCCCAAAGAGATCATAAAAATGGGAAAAGGGGGAGGGCAGCTAGGTGGTGCAGTGGATTAAGCACTGGCCCTGGATTCAGGAGGACCTGAGTTCAAATGCGGCCTCAGACACATAACACTTACTAGCCGTGTGACCCTGGGCAACTCACTTAACCCCTATTGCCCAACCAAAAATAAAAATATGTACAAAAATACAGCAGCTCTTTCTGTGGTGGCAAAGAATTGGAAATTGAGGGGATGCCCGTTAATTGGGGTAATGGCTGAACAAGTTGTGGTATATGAATACTGTTGTGCTATAAGAAATGATGAGGAAGCAGACTTCAGAAAAACCTGGAAAGACTTATATGAACTGATGAAATGAGCAGAACCAGAAGAGTAATGCAAAGATCTGAGACATCTCCAAAAGTCTCATGATGGAAAATGCTGTCTACATTCAGAGAAAAAACTATGGAGTCTGAATACAGATGGAAGCATATTATTTGCTCTCCTTTTCTTTTGTTGTTTTGTTTTATCTCTTCTTTCTCGTGGTTTATCCCATTAGTTCTAATTCTTCTTTACATCATGACTAATGTGAAAATATGCTTAATATGAATGCATAAGTAGAGCCTATGTCAGATTGCATGCTGTCTTGAGGAAAGGTGAGGACAGGAAGGAGGAGAAAATTTAAAACTCAAATTCTTATGGAAGTGAATGTTGAAAACTAAAAATAAACAATTTATTTTTAAAAAAAGAAAACTTTTACATTACATCTTTGTCTTATTACTTTGTCTAATCATTTCCTCTTTAGGAGATATCATCTCAATATTATAATTTGACCACAAATACAGGTTAAAATTGTAAGATGTTTATACTTGCA